ACTACGATCATTTGTCTACCTTTTCGTGAAAGAGAAAAACTCCGTGCGCCGTTCAGGGGATCGCGCCAAAGTGCCGTGTCTTTCCCGAGACATTCCCCGTGCGGCCAGCCATAACCGGGCATTCCACGGAGAAAATTATGCGGTCAGTTATACGTAATAGTGTTACGCGCGCGCCTATAAGTGCGACGTTTTCTTTTAACTGGACACTTTTTGAGATTTGAAGCACGACCTTCTTTGCATTTGCTGCGCGGGGTTTGTTTTTTTCTCAACATGCTCTTCTGGCCCACCATAATGTGTGATGACCGTGCTTCTTAGACCACTCCTGGCGCTTTTTTCCCTCATAAGCCCTTTTTCTTTTTGAGGCTACTCTATTTTTTTCGCAGGACTTCCCTTAGCCCGCTCAAGGTCTTCTTCCTTGCTTCGTTATCACGTTCTAGTGCTTCCTGAACACCATGAACACTGGAAAGATCCATGCGACGGAACAATTCAGGAATCCAGTGATAACCTACACCAACACCTTTGGTGCATATAGGTCAAATTGGACTGAAGCAGACGAAGATTAGTGGACACATGATAATGTGTCATTTGGAGGGCAATGGCTTTGGACCTAAACCTAATCAGTACATTATGGGATGCTTCTACTGCATTTGAGTGGCCACTTTTCAGAACTGGATGTACCAGTTGTTTTGCCTGCGGGGCCCTTTCATGCAATTCTATCTCATAACTCTGGTGTTAAGCACCCACAACCCACACTGTGGTTGCCTGTACAATGACAGAAACGCACACGTGTTACTGTGGCTATCTTTTTTTGCAGTCGGAAGAACATTCAACTATTGCAGGAAATTTTTCTCTATGCTTCTCAATAAACTTTTTAGGGAATTGCTTAATTTTCTGACGACTTTCGAGGATTTTTCTGTGTGCACGCCCTGAATGCCCTGCACATATCATTATCTCTGCATCAGGAAAGACTGCAGAGAATTAATTGGCAGAGGACGAGTCTGCGTCCTGCCAATGAATGGCAACACACATCCCATCCTCTTTCGCTTTGTCAAACATTAACATAGCTGCATAACCCTCAGCAGATTTAGATGTGCCACGGTAAAGTTCCTGCCCAACAACATCAGTTCTACCTTTTTGGCAGGAATGATGATAGTATAATAATGCAGCATTCTAATTGTGAAGGTGGCATTCTTACTGTGCCACCCTCGAGTTTGCCAGGTTCCATCAGCAGTGGTTACAGCTCTCTTCCAGGAACCAAGCTCTTCAGGAGGAATTTGCATCATTTCCTGATGTGCCTTTTTGTACACATAAGTCGTCTAGAAACATTCTTCAACGACATCTGGGTACATTTCTTCAATGGTTTTCAAAAACACACACCCTTACTTACAGCCTGTATTCCCAGTGCCAATTTCAGCGTTATTACAAGGCCGCCTCCGTTGCCAACACTGTTAACATGGACAGGGACTAAATTTCCTGCATATTCAGGAGTTTTGCAACCCCTACAACAATACTTGCTCAATAATTTATCTAACTGAGACAACTCATCAAACACATCGCGTTTGGTAAAACAATATGCTTACTTTAATGGGGTGTGCGGACTAGGTAACACACTCACTCCCAGAAGACACAAAACTTGGAATCCTCACTAGACACTGTATCTTCCACACTCGAGGAATCTACAAAAGAGTTTGTTACACACAACAGTCTATCGAGGAAGATGTCAGCAACATACAATCAATGCACGCAAACCAACCTGGTGCTACACTAATTACATGTACAGATGTAGAGCTGATATTTATAATAAAAAACAAGCCAGTGTAGCATTTAACAGATTTGTATAGTGCCTCCCGAGTCCACTTTATAGTCGTCAGCAGGCAGTCTGCAAATATTCCTTATTTGTGCAATTATATGATTATATATCGCTAATACTTGCTGCGCCTTATGGAGTGAACTTTTCTTCCGTATTTTTCGCTTTTTGTCTGTAAATGGTGGACGAATTGTGTAAAAATTCAGATAAGTATACCCATATTTAGTTGGAGGCACTGTACCTATCGTTCTTTGGGCCACTTGTTGCAAGAGAGGTGGCAGAAAGAAAACAACAGAGATATGGATGGAATTACACACACCAAGTACCGCATTCTAGGCCCTAGGCCCTAGCCCTAAACCCACACCTCCACCCTTTGTTACCCCCACAAAAAATTGAGCAATACAGCATTAAACAACTCACCTAATGACATTTTCAGCCAGCCCTCAAAAGACTTCCCTGCAATAGGATAGTGCTGAGTCACCAGGGTGTCATTAACCAGCTTTGTGGCGTAAGGATGTGTTTAGCAAGTATGGTCTACTGTGTTGATCATTGGGCTGTGAGTGAGCCTAGACTAGGGCCTTTTGAGTGGTGAAATACACTCGCACTAGCTGTAAGAGCACTCTATGCTGATCACACTGCTGCATGACGCGGAGAGGAAATGGTAAGTGGAAGGGAAGGCGAACTCAGCAAACGCTACCATCAGCAATGCTCTTCTGGAGAGGCAACTGAAGGGTGGATTTGGCTCACATTTTATAATGATGGTGCAAAAAGTGTGTGAGCTAAGCTTTGTGTGCAGGGTTTCAACAACGGAGGTTACTTTTGTGATGAAGTCATCTCTAAAATTAGCACCAGCAGGCTGTGCACGCATCGCCGATTGCATCACGTGCACCATGGAGTTTATGCTCACCCACGCAACCCAGTCAACCAGCTGAGTCAGCACTTTGTGCAGAATGGCACACTACATTACTGTACCATTCGCAAGGCTACGAGTTTTCTTCGTGGCACATGCTTGGGCATAATACACAACCGAGGAATAGTAAGTTCTTGGCTTACCCACACACCAGCCAGAGCCTATTCTTTTGCAGCTACACTGATACTTTCTATAGCCACATGCACAACGGCTTAGGAATGGTTATTGTGCACAACCTCCTCCGTATATACTCATTCAGAAACTGGGTTTGACTTAACATGGCAAAAGCCATGCACCTTCCCAGCATACTCTAATAAATGCACACCCTATATCAAAACGTGCACACATCCTTGTATTTCTCCCAATAATGTTTTACCTTCAACAAAAATAGAGTTGAAAACTGCAGGCAACAGTTAAACAGCTATACAACTATGGTGCTTCAGCAGACGAGACTGTGGCCACAGCTAGACTTTTGATGCACTATCCCCCGTTCTCAGGTTGGGGACAATAATATGACCACCCTGACACCACGTGCCGTGGAGCCCGCGCGCATGGAGAGCTAGCGCAGCGCCCGTGCGCTTGCACGTGCGACAACCAGCCCCGCCCCCCTCTCTAGCTAGTTGGACAGTACCAAGAGCAATGCCACCCTTACATAGGAGTGGGAAAGGAAGCAAGTTCAATATTACACAATCAGTATTGTTGTATAGCTGTGAAAAAGGGAGGATATTCAAAACCACAACGCTGATAATGTTGCAAACAAGAAGTTTGTTTTGTTGTGGTTTTTTCAATGAGAAAGGAGGTGGAGCAGCTTAGGTTATAGTGCTAGCTGTAGTAGTCGAAGATACAGGCATATGCCATTACAGACCCCGATTTCCTGTCTGGCACCCACCGCCAAGTCCCAAGTTATGCTGGTACACAAGTCTGACATCCATGTATTGGTCCTGTGATGACCACAATGTATACGTAATATCGCCTGGAGCAAGTTGATTTCCATGGTAGATACATAAGTTTTTAGCGAAGGAAGTATTTTTTGACCTTACATAGCAGTATAAGTTATTCGCGTAGTATTATAACTAGGTGAAGGGTGGTTTGTGTCTGAGGGAAAGCTAGAAAGACACATATGTAGTGAGTGTCACCCTGGATTCTGGTATTGGTAGTCTTTACACTGGCTGTAAGTACTTTCTTGAGACAAACATGACGAAGTTTTGAAGTGCCTGCAATGCTTCTGACAATATCGATGACCAGTTGTTTGTAGTGTGTGGATTACTCCCGTACGCCTGAGCCACATCAGAGACAGGAAAACATGTCCGTGTTTCTATGCTCTCCTCCTCTCTGGTAATGATCCCTGCTTCTTTCCTGTGGCTGCCCTAGGGCTGAATACCTAGCTGGCTTCGCTCTCTTGCACTCTTGCTCTAGCTCTTGCTAGGTCTAACAGTTGTAGTTTGAGTATAAGCTGCAGATGATAAATCAATGCTGAGCTGTTTCATGGAATATTTTACGAACGATATTGCATTTCCTTGTTACTTCATAAAAGACTAAGTTTTGAGTCACGAACTTTGTTGTTGGTTACCCAATGCTATAAGAAAAACAGGTTATGAACGAGCTAAATGAAAAATGCTGTGACTCAAAGGCTGGGGTGTTTGCAACCAGCTAATGACTGTTGCTGCATAGTTGGAGCCTTTTGCAGCCCTTTTTCGTCGTGCATGGTGAGCTATAAAACTGCATCTAGACCCTAGCTGAACGCATAAAAGAGCGAGGGACGTTTCGAAGCACTTGCAGCGCCAATTTTTTTACTACGTAAGTAGTGGGACGCGGGCCGCCCAATACACAGGAAGTATATGGGAGACAAAACGCTCAACGACTCCGCAAAAATGTTAGCTATCTGCATGATGCAGAGTCCACCTCCGCCGTCCTACGGAGTCAACAAACCCGTCGTCCAGTACTACATGGAGTCGATGCCAACCTCGAGCCAGTTATACACATGTGCAAGGTGCGTGTTATGTTTCACCGAAGCCATCCACCTAGCTAGTTTTCAAAACTTTAGCACAATGTTGTTTTGTCTCCGCACAGGCCTATATAGCATATTCCACGTCAGTGCACCAGGCCATCAATCCCTAGGGTGACATGGCCGACCAGGCACTGAGCCTGCAACAGCCTGTCGTTGACAGCTTTAGCCCGCCCCCGTCCGACGGCATGTCGCCCGTAAGTGGTTCGCCTACCGCTGGAGTCCCCCTGGCAGATGGCCAGGATGGATTGCTATGCCCTGAGGAAGCCTACGCCTTGATGTACTCCCCGAACACCCACACGCTGCAGCAGAGTGGTGGCCTACCCCGCCCCCTCAGCCACTCCACCACTTACTCCCAACCATACAGTCCCCTCCATTACCCCTCTCCACCGCCTCCTCTCAGCATTTCCTGCAGCCCCGTCATAAGACCCGCGACGAGGGAACCCTTTCCCCGTACCAACTCGTGCCACATCTGCGGAAAGACGTACGCGCATAAGTCGTCGCTCAAGAGGCACCTGCGCACGCACACGGGCAAGAAACCGTACCAGTGCTCCATCTGCCCGAAGGCCTTCACCCACGCCGCTTACCTCACGGCCAACCTCAGGACGCACACGGGTGAGAAACCGTACCATTGCTCATCTGCCAGAAGGCCTTCACCCGGGCCGCCCACCTCACGGTCCACCTCAGGACGCACAGCAGCAAAAAAAACGTTCAAATGTCCCGTCTGTCAGCGGGGTTTCTCGGTGAGCAGCTCCGTCACGACGCACCTGCTCATGCACTCGGGCGACCGACCGCACAAGTGTAACAAGTGCGGCAAAGGTTTCATCACCTGCTCCGGCCTCACAAGTCACTACCGTACGCACACCGGCGAGAAACTAAACTACACGACGTGCAATGCTAAATAGTGGTGATGTATACTAGTAGGCGAATGCATGCTCGGGGGAATCCATGGAATTTTTGGCGAGCGGAGGAGCGCGCACACAATGACTGTATCTGCACGAGCCATCCTAGCATATTTACAACTTGAACCTTAGAACTACGAAGATTTGAAAGAGATACAGCCTCCGTCAGGCATCAAAGAGCGCAGCGAATGGCGCTGAATGGACGATCGTTCTCTCGCTGGCTAGACAATCATCGACATGATGACAGGCGCTAGCAACGTGAGAGCTCGAGAATGAAGAGCGTAATCCTGACGCATGCGCAGTAGCAGACGTACCTTTTCCAACTATTTCTTGAAATAGGCAGACTACGTCAGACTAGCGGTTAACCAGACCAGTGTATTCCTATTCAGCTTCATTTTCCAAAGCCCCATGGACGGGAAAAATAATCTTGAAACATGAAAAGGAGGGTTCGCAACGTTACATTCCTCGCACAAATCGCTACTAGTACTCGATACCCAAACTCACCACGTTAGTTCTTGACCACTCGATTCCTTAGTTCTTTCCGCGACTCAACGGGTTACCCCAAGAGACTATTCTACCCTCCAACCTATCTGCGACTGAACCGAACCGTCTTCTCACCCCAATATACGAGCACTTCCGCTATCAGCGGTTTGCACGCTGGCATGGCGTGACGAGCTTTCAGACGACTGGGTAGCTAGGTAAGTCCGCTTGGTCTTCCAAAAAGACAAAGGCAAATTTTCACTCTTCGATAAGGAATAAGAGAAATTGAGCTAATGCGACAGATAACTGTTCTCTGGATTGGACTCTTGCTACAAGGATGGATACTTGAAATTGCTCTTTCAGCCAACTACACAAGGCGATTATGTACTGGAGAGCCAGCTCTGCAACCACTGTCTTTTCATTCCTGTCCCAATGAATCTGCAACATTCACATGTAGTGACAGCAAGGTGTCTGTCATTAAATGGAAGGTAGAACCTTATACAACTCCCGATGGTGGTCTGAGTTATGCTGCTTTATTTATAATGGCGGACACAGAACTTCTTACAATGAATAGCACCGACAATATACTCCACTCAACTCTAATCTTCGATAGAATTGATGAGAATTTTGCCAATATGATGTCAACTCTAACAGTGGCTACGTCTGGCGTGAGAAATGGAACAAATGTCACTTGTATCACTCTAGTTGGGTATGATGAGTGTAACATGACTGCTACCATCTATGTTGCAGGTTAGTGAGTGGAACCAGAGGTAGGCTTTGGGTAATATTGTGGTGCATTATTTATCCTTTTATGATGTGCCTAAATCTATTAAAGCAGAAGGTGTTGTATATAAACGAAGAGAAGGAGACGTACTTCACAGCAGTACTAGGGCTGGGAGATATGTTTGATGGAGGAGGAGTTCCAATTGATCACTACATTATTCAAGTGGACAACGGCACACAGTTTGAAACTCCAGGCCCCACTTACAGTTTTGACACCATGTAGCTACAATACTACACTGTCAGTGAACATCTCAGCCCACAACTGTGCAGGATACAGTGATCCCTTTCCACTTGAGACACAGTATGATGAAGGTGGAGTTTTTTGTGATTATTATTGTGATTTTCCCTAACACAATACTCTACAGATTCGGAGGAAGATAGTACACCCAGTACGACACCAAGACCAGATGGTGAAGGTGGTTCCTCATTTCTTGTGATTGTGGTACCTGTATCAGCTGCTGGGGCACTTATTGTCATCACAATATCTGTTGATTTTGCTTAAAAGGACATGTAAGTTGCCATCAATCTAAAAGTGTGATGTGGTGGAGAACCCTGCTTATGGTGTCCATGTTCAAGGCTCAGCTGGTGATAGACTGGAGCCAGACTTCAACATGGAGAACAACCCACTGTATGAGATGAGGATACTGTCAAATGAGGGACACTCACACAAGACACAAACACCAGCTCCTGTCCCTGTGTATGAGATGGTTGCGAGTGCTACTGCTTAAGTTTATCAGGAAAAAAGACGGTAATGTTTACCCTATATATTCTATCACAATACATTATTTAGTTTTCGTTTGCAACTTTTATTTGTTGCATTGCGAATGTGATGTAAAAACACTCCTTGCTTTTAGAATACAATTTATGACTAGTTATCGAGATTGGGACTTCTATAACTTATAATATTTAACAGACCATGGTGAATGCCCCTAAAGTCCTTGGCCAGAATAGTTAGCCCTGAAAAAGTGTGCTTAGGTTTATAATGCACTGAGATTTGTGCATTAACTATTATTATTGTGGCTTTACAGCACACAAAGACACGAGATGTGAAAAGTAAGATGATGGCAAGAGGATGGTAGTGCTGAGGGTCTGCTGGAGGGTATACACAAGCAGCCTATAACACATAACAGAACAAAAACAAACATACTTAGAGATTAGTTCATAGGAGAGAGGTGTCAAAGTTGGGGGAGATCGGGATAGAGCTACACTTAGCACATGGACACAGGTAGTGGAACGAGCATGGATTATCTGGATTGAAGTTTGTAATGAAACGATTCCAAAAAAGTTCGTAGAGATGATTCCAGACTGCCGCTGTTGAATTACTTCAGGTGAAGAGCAGAAGATTGTATCAACTATATAACAGAACCAAAAACATTCCACATCCCTTCGGCCACAATCATGGTGACAGGATGTTAGCTATATTAAGGGGTACTCATAAACACTGCCATCCAGTGATCAACCAATCGTAATCACCATTCACCCTCCTGCGATGCCTCCCTCATCTTCCTCCAGTGGCAGACTCAACATCTGCTACTCTCTGTGGACAGCTAGTCCTCATTGGTTGCATGTGAAATAGGTCAACGCCATTCACCACCTAGTGGATAGACGGCGGGTGAAAATTTTAGTAGCCAGTCCATCACCTGACAACTAAACTAAAAAAAAGGCAAACTCTAAACGGTGTTGAAGAATGTGTTGTTAGTAATACCGTGTAATTGTGAAGAGTGCTGTGTTTTATAGTTTCAACTCAAAAACAATTAAAGCAAGTATGTTGGAAGAGGGGGTGGGGTGTAGTTTTGTCATGTCATCAAGAACGATGAGTCCAAAAGTCGTTCACAACCCCATGCCTACATAATATTGCATTGAATACATGAGACACCTATGCATTTTTAGTGTATGATACCACGTATCTTTATTTGCTAGTGTGTGCTCAATAGTGTTAGAGGCAGACTCCAATTGACCGGAATTAGGAGTGTCCGTCTGTCCGTCTGTGCACATGCGAACAGAGGGTTATTATGAAAGACAGTATTGTTTAGGAACAAAAGAGCTCCCATGTTTCTCAGCGGGGCTTTTGTCCTTGAGTTCTGCTGTTGAGTGTGTGGTCATTTTACAAGCTTTATGTACATCTGTGAATGTTGAGGTTCATTCGCCTCTGAGTACAAAGTGGATTAACAAAATTAACTGATCATGCATGGTATATGCTTTATGCTTAACTAAAGGTTACAAACTATAGCTCTAATGTGAGTTTAGAGTTTTTTTAGTTAGTGTATACTTCAGTAGACTTTCTTTAAAGTGCCTCATAAACATGTTGTGATGTGTGTGCTTCTTCTGCTTCAGAGTATTCTTTGTCTCTTGTATTGGTTGCCATCAGGTACACTGGGTTTTCCTCCATGAAGCAGTCATGGTCCGTGGTAAGGTTGTGCCCAGGTTTACAGTAGGTTGTGTCCCAACTAGGCGTGTCGTAGATGGGTACACTGCTACTGTCTACTGGAGTTGGGGAGTGAATACCTGTGTTTATTATGAAAAACATACTGTGTCTTGGTAAACACTGCTAAACTCACCCTGCTTTGTTGAATCACAGCAGTTGCTGTTCCGTTTAGGAAACTTCTTGGTAAAGGCCAAGAGGGCAATAATTGTTAGAGTAATTATGAGAAGTGCTGAAACACATGCAACTGGGACAACAGTCAAAATCAGAAACACTCGGGTTGATTTTTTATTCGATACAGGTATTTTGGAACTCTTAGGCACAGTTGATGCAGCTGGAGCAGAAAATACATTATTCTTGTTGTTACAGCTCAAATTTTCTAAATTCTTATATACCTCTGATGTGAAGCGTACTTGTAACTTTAGCTGAAACAGTTATAAGAAATAGTATTAGCTAGCTATTCTGTCTTACATTATAGCTACTCACCTTCATCATAATATTCAATTTGAAGCAAATAAAAATGGCTATATCCTGCACAGTTGTGGGCTGAGATGTTCACTGACAGTGTAGTATTGTACATGATGTCAAAACTGTAAGTGGGGCCTGGAGTTTCAAACTGTGTGCCGTTGTCCACTTGAATAATGTAGTGATCAATTGGAACTCCTCCTCCATCAAACATATCTGCTAGCTCTAGTACTGCTGTAAAATACGCCTTCTTCCCTTGGTATACTATGGAAGTTTTCTTCAAATGAGGTGTGTCTGAAATATTATATCAAAGTATTATTACAGTGAAGTGTAACTAAAAGAATCCTACCAGCTTGATAGAAGGTTGTGGTCTTCTGTGACGTTTCAGAACGTATGTAGGTCGTGCATCTGATGCATGTTCCGTTGTCCACTTCACTTGTGTCAATAGTAAGTTCAGAAGCCAGATCAGCCACATTACCACTGCTTGTAAGGTATGTGAGATTAGCAATAAAGCCCCTGCGAAAAACTAGGAAGGAGTCAATTGCTGCTGTATGAGTGGAAACATATATGATAGGGTCATCATTTGGAATGTAAGGTTCAGCTGTCCATGCTATGGCATGAATCTCACTTCCGTGACAAGTAACTTTCACTGAAGTCTCATTTGGACATGCATACAGAGAAATCTCTGGTTTCAGAGTTAGTATCCTTTCACAGAAACAACCTAAAGTGAGTAGCTATCATCGTAAGAGGAACATTGATCTTTCGAACCTTACCTGGCACAAAATGGCACAAATGAGCAGAATTCGTGCAGTCAAAGGCATTGCGAGATTTTTTGCTTCACTAATGTGTGCTGTTCTTTATTAGCAAGCCGTGCGTGCCGTGCGCAATCGCAAATTAGCCGGGCACATGCGCTAATTATTCCTGTTTGTCAGTGAGTATCGCTAATAAGCCGCCTCGTAGCCTGTAGTGCCGAATAAGCGTCGACACACACACTCACACACACAAACTAACTACTGTAACCCTCGCTACGCATGCGCGCCGAGGGTTAACTAGCACTGTTCTGAGTCGATACGTTGTAGAACTCCAATGTGCACCATGATTGAAGTCGCTAAGACCGAGGCTAAGACAGAATTTGGACGGACACTTAATTAGAAGCCCGAGAGACCCGACACCCACTTCCACCACCAACTCAGATCATGAACCACGGAATACCAGCTGTCAGCAATCAGCCCCAAAGAGGCTACCCTTCTCACCATGTGAGTAGAACAAGTACGACCCATGGATATCGACCGCTGGATATTATGCCTCCCACGTGGACAGATCTGTGGTAAGGATGCCCAGCCATTGTAAGATTATCTGGAAGTTGCTTGGCAGGTGGGGCTCTGAAATGTTTTCCTCCCCCTATCACCACTGCTGACCTGTACATTCCTGCACCCTTATCCCACTTCAGACCCAGCCTTTGTTGCACTACCAACTCCTATTGTAAGCCTACTCCTTACATTGTCTGTCTACTCCTCTGTATTGTGCTTTGTGTTTCACTTGATGGCGCATACTATTTATATGTTCAAAGGGGTTAGACTGCTACTGCACTCTCAAGCTAGACCCTGAACCCTACAAACTTCTGGCTTCTACTCCCCACTTGCCATCACCCCTGCCCCCACAATGCACTGCAAGTGTGTGTGCGATCAAACCTTCAAATCACAAATCTGCAGTACATAAATCTCCACCCACGCGTGTGTGAATCCTAATACGTGCTGCCCTTCGCTCGCCGCTCTTCACTGCGAAAAGGGTGGGGCTGAGCATGTGCTAAAAAAGTAAGTGGAACCAGTGGAAAAAGAATTTATTTAAAATGAAGGGTTTTCATACTGAAACTCTCTGCTCTTCTTGTAATCTCAAGTATGTATCGCAAGTGACTACGTCACAACGTGACAGTCTCCTGTTAAGACTTCCTTTTCTCCTTTACCACTTGGCTTACGATGCTCTATAACTGATGAATAATATACTGTCACCATAACAGTGGCTACTAACACCACTTATAGTGTCCCAGTCATGAGCAACGGCAGAAATGTTCATCCTAGCACATTGTTAGCGGCAGCTTGTGAGGTAGTCTGTTGCCATGTACAAACTCAGCATGAGGCAGGACATGATTATTACTTGGCGTGTTGCAGGACACATAAAATAGCCACTCTTGTATTATTCTTACCTGATCCAACACCCTGTAAAACTGTGAGGGCATGTCTGTGTACTTTTATACATACTTTCCTACAGTATAGCTCCTGACAGACGGCTGAATAATATTCAGTTTCAGTTTATCTGTACATCTCACAGCAACTAACAAATAGGCTGTGGACAGTTTCAAGCAACACAGGAGGTAAGATGGTTTTACCCAGAAGCACAATACTATAGATCTTGTCCGCAGACACAGTAGTGGCTCCAACTGACATAGCGATGTCCAAACACTGCCATAAACCCGAAATACAGCCCATCCATGATTAGTCCTGTAGGGAAGGCGTAAATTATGATAAAGGATACCAACAAGAAAGATGCTTCAGCTGAAAACAAAAATCATACATCCATCCCTAACTCACAACCTCAACTGTGATTTGTTATGAATTAATATACCCTACGCCAAAATGAGTGCCTACACATTCTTAGACAGAACTAAAGAAAGAAAGATGTAGGGATGGATGTATGATTTTTGTTTTCAGCTGAAGCATCTTTCTTGTTGGTATCCTTTTTCATAATTTACGCCATCTCTACATCCCCCTTCATTTTAAAGAAATGATTTTTCCACTTGTAAAATACGGATAAATCCGTACGCTTGGAGGCTATGCGGAGTCGTTCTATAGATACGTCAGCAAGGCCAGCGCTGTCACATTTTACAGATATATAACATGGCTTATAGAGTTAGAGACAACATCTTTCTTGTAGTACGTAGCAATGGCTGTAGCAATGGCAAGGGGGTTTGGTCGGATGTACCATCTGCTAGACAGAGCCTGACCGAAGATAAGCTCATTACGTATGTGGAATACCTCATAGATAACGTGTATGTTAATGTAGGTAACAAGGTCTATAGACAGTGTGTGGGCATCCCTATGGGCACTGATTGTGCTCCATTATTGGCCAATCTGTTCCTGTTCTTACGAGTACAGGTACATGAAAAGCCTGATAAAGAACAATATTCATGGCTAGGAGGTTTAACAATACAATGAGGTACATAGATGACCTTCTTATACTAAATAACATCCAATTTAATGACGCCATACAGGACATATATCCTTCTGAGCTAATTACTGCATAATTTTTACTATGTACACTATAATAGGAACCACGATAGTGCACCACGTGTAAGTCATTTTGTTCCAGATTCTTTTTTTCTACCACGTTTTTACCGCTACAAGTAAGTCATTCTATATTATTTCTACCATGTGTTTACTGCTACAAGTGAGTCATTTTACCTTGTTTTTTACGTCCAGTAAGTAAGCTAGATTCTATTTTTCTATTTTTCTACAATGCTACCAATTTCTTTTTTCTACCATCTGTGTTTGTGTATATATTTATATTTATATGTATCGTACTCTACATGTGTTGTCGTGACTGTACTATCGTACAGTTACTCACTGTGTGGCTGTCATTGTTTGTGATGTGGAGTTTGGATGCTGGGTGTGTGGGGAGAGTTGGCTAGCCATAAAAGACCCACCGTCCCGGTTCTCAAGGCTGGGCACCCAGTGTCCTACTATCATGTCATGTCATGTGTATTTGTGTATGTGTTTTGTGTGGATATTTTGGGGTTTGTAAATATGGTGGTGGTGGTTTTTATTTATTTCTCTATCTATCTATCTATCTATTATACCTATGGCTGGTATGCTATGAACTATAATTTCATGCAATAAGAGCATAATGTAATCATGTCCGATATAGTCGAGAGACGTGTAGTGCCGCGAACCAAGAACTGACTTGTCCACTACACAAAATCTGATTCTCTCAGGCAATACAGTCTACATAATTATACATCGACCTCCTAGTGTACAATACAATGGTATCACATGCACAACGAATGTTCTAGAATCAGACATACACTAAAGTACTCCTGATAGAGGTGGTTACGTAATACAGCTAACAAGCATAACACCACGTTACAACAGTAAAAGTGAATATAAGAATAAGAACATTACTCAGGACACCACCTACAACTGAAGAAAAAACAGTGGTTATGGTGAACACAGTGTAAATCTCCTGCTTTACCTATTTTCTGTGAAGTATCAGATGATGGAGTTGATGTTAAAGTTGGACTAGATGTGTAAATAACTGCCGAAGGCTGGTGCGTAGATATCCGTGAAGTCGAGAGCGAACTATAATTATTGATAGCTCCTACAAAAGTTGATGAAGGTAGCTCATCCGTTGTTGTCAGAGAGATATAGTAGGGTTCAGACGCGAAATTTCGCTGACAGTTATCAAACACCTCAACAATAATAGTCACATTGCCATGAAACAGACAGTTATCATATCGAAAGCGGATATCTGTGCTACTCCCATCAACAACAGCTGCATTTTCTATCTCACTGGCAGTTCTCAATTTGATGGCAATGTTCACAATTCCACTAATGCTCCCTGTGTTCCAGGAAACATACAAAGTGTCTATTGATGTCATATTTGCATTAATAATTTCCGGTCGGCTTTCCACTGCATCTGTGCAGGGGATAATATTGCAAGTGGACAATGAAATGAAGGGGGATGTGCGAATGTCAGTCAGTTCATGAAAATGAAGGGGAACATAAAGACGCTTATAGCTACCGAAACAGGAATACATTCCTAACAACATCCCTTTATATTGGTCATGTAATGCAAACTGATGAGAAACCCTTTCAATATTACTTGGAATCTGCAATAATGTGGGGATGGCTATTACTAAGTATGGTAGTACTTTGTATAATTATAAGAATGACACAGGTTGTCCTGCATTATGCCCAAACATTTGAGATTTGTACGTTTCAATTTCAGTTTCAACTTCGGACATATCAGTTTGATCCTTATTGTTAAAAAAGCATGTATCCAAGAAATGGCTTAAATCGCATAATTGGTAATTGATTTATTGAAGCAAGTCAGTTTTCTAAATTCTTGTTGTTGTTGTTGTTCACTTTAGACAAGCGTATCTCAAAAGACATGTAAGATACAAAAATTACACTTTGCACAGAGATTGGAATCCATGACCCGGCGGGCAAGAGCACTTTTATTTGTTTGTAAACAATGTTTGTTAATGTAAACAACAAATAACAACAAAAAATAGCCCTAGGCCGTACATTATAAATAGAAACCAAGTGGGCTAACTAGGTTTAGTACGTAGCTGACTTAAATCGAGCCATCTGATTGGTCTACACAAGGTACTTTGATTTCCCGTAGTATATTATTATTATTATTATTATTATTATTATTGATGCACACACCAGTAAAGGTGCAGAATAGACAAACGAATAGAGAGAAAGTGGAGAGCAGAACCACGGCCTTCTGGACTCTATCCCGTCGCCAACCTGGGACTGAGACGCTCCGTAGTAAAGATCACGTATAATCATCTACATAAACATGTAGGTTTATCGACTACAAAATTCTTTTTTTTCTAGTTTCAACAGTATGAACAAAGAAACAAGAAGTCTGGGCCTAGCTATACGTAAGCGCCTGTACGTTAGCGCTAGCGGTACGTAAACGTGCGCGTAGTGTGGGCGGAGCCCTTTGTCCTCGAAGCTCGGCGGAGTGCTGTAATTTCCTCCTACCGTATATACACGCTCGCCGCTGGTGGCTGAAACCTCGCTCGTTCATCGCGTCTTCACGCTTGCACGCGGCAAAAGCGTGTAGAAGCGATCCTGACGCATGCGCAGGTAAAAAAGAAGCGCGTTATGAAGCCGCGCATGCGCACTTACGCGACGTACGCGGTCGGAAAAATCGTGCCGTTCGGACCACTAGCTTAGCACGCTCCCGCTCGCCAATTTTAGAAAATTCCGCTCGAACGAACGACTAGGTTGGCTCGCTCGCGGTCGTCAATGAGTTCATCGAAAGATATTTACCATTTGTAAACAACAACAAACAGCCTCAGGCAATCAAATGGTGTTTGTGCCTATAACTTGCTTATGGTGGGTCCTCTGACAATGAAAGTTGGTACACTGATTCACCATGGTAAGGGTTTATAAACAGAAATTAACAACAACGAACAGCCTCAGGCAATAAAAACTAGCAAATGATGTTTGTGCCTATAACTTGCTTATTGTGGGTCCTCTAACAATTATGTTAAATGCATGGTGTTTGTGCCTACAACTTTCTTATGGTGCAGGGGCGGAGATAATAGGGAGGCAGGGGGTGTTTTGGCACCTTCACTCTTTGAGGCCACTTTTCATGCTGCCTGCTGCTAGCTTTGCAGTTCGTTTATTGTTTTGATTTGCTTTTGTGTACAAAAATTATTTGTTGCCCCCCCCCCCCTTCACTTTTTGAACCCTGCCCTTGTGGTGGGTCCTCCAACAATGAAACTTGGTACACTAATTCACCGATGAGCAACTTGGCACAATCAGCGCAGTGTTACGCGGGCATTGCTGTTACGCGGGTACGCAAATGGGCCTTCATTGTGCCTGATTACCGAAGCCTGCCCATGAAACCACAACCATGTGCCATAACCTAATTACATCCTTGTTGAAGACAATACCTGAGGTGAATAATGGTATCTAGCTCCTGCGTCAGGCACTAGCAGCCCATTAGCTATATACAGCTTTCAACGATTTGAGTTAGCTAACCTATCTGCAACATAATATATACCCATGAACATCAGAGTCACTTTAAAAATGAAAAGCACTTAAGTGCAAACCCTCGGCGAACTACGCATGCGCGATACTGCTAATTGATGGGCTGGGCCGGCTATTTGCGTTTACTCGTGGTCTTCCGCTAGTAGCCCGCGGAGAGTCAGACACGGGCTAGCTACAGTAGTAGATAGAATGACATGCCATTGGTTGTGACTTCCTGAGCCCCCAAGGTACACAGAGCGAGCAGCTCAGGTCGCGGTTAGCCCAGTGCGATTATGCATATTGGCTTTTTCGCTTGCTTTCACGGCATATCTCTCGAACGAAGTCGTTTCAGGAATTATTTTTCAGGCTCCCGTAGTTCTGAATCCGCTGGTATCGCTAATGGGCCGCCTCGTAGCCTGTAGTGCCAGAATAAGCGTCGATACACACACACACACGCACACAGACAGAACGACTACCGTAACCCTCGCTGCGCATGCGCGCCGAGGGTTAATAAAGTGCAGTGTTGTCATAAGCTGTTAAATATAGTGGAAACAAGTGGGAAAATCTTTTCTTCAAATTGAAGGGTGGCTTGTAGCACAAAAAGGAAGAAACAAGGGGTCGTTACACAGCAAAGATGCGCAAAGCTACATGACACCATCCCTATCTTTGTTTTATTGTTCATAAGCAAAGTTTAATATGAAACAAAGATATAGGGATGGTGTCATGTGGCTCTATGCATATTCGGTGTGTAATGACCCCTTGTTTCTTCCTTTTTGGTGCTTCAAGCCATCCCTATATCCCCCTTTGAAGAAATGATTTTTCCACTTGTATATTATCTGTCTCATGGGCTTAGGAAATCAGTCATACCTGCACATTCATACGAGGGAGCACACTCATAATTTGTGACAATATAGGGTTTGTGTGGCTAAAGATTTATATACATGTTCACCAAGAAGGTCAATTTTGAAGATGTATATACCGTTATCCATTCTACTATAATATACTGCGTCACATACTAGGTCATCCCTGTCTTGTCTCTTTGCCTTTTATGGCATCCCTACATTCCAGACACTTATTCTTAACTGTGTAAACACTGCCACAGATAACTTTCTTCGGTGAGTTTGTATTGTTCGGATACTAAAGAAAAGAGTGCAAGAGTCAGAAGTAGGGGAAGAAAGGTACATACCTATCTGGTGCAACCATCATTTCTTGCTCAACAGCCCAAGTGTTACACTATTACAATAGACAGCCTTAGTTCAGATCCAACGTTAGAAAGTACTTGGACTGCTAAGAAAACGAGTTCATAGCTAAGTACAATGATTTTCCTATTGTTGCATCTACACTGAGACAGAAAGTCATTCATAACCTCTTTCAAAAATCTTAGTCTCCACTGGTCATGAATAGCTACATGTCTTATGACCACCGTAGCTACAAACTGACAAGATCCTCCCCCCAAACCAAAGTCCTGTTTACCGACATTAACTGCTCATGAAAGAAACAGATGTAACTAAGGATGGTAGCTTTTATGATTAAAAAGAGAGGGTACCCTGACCCCTAAGTGGGGAAACACCATCACACCTCAGTATCAAGGAGGCCACTTCAGCGACAACAGGAGAGATCATAATTAAGTACATGAAATTTTTTTGCAAAACCACAACAAAAACAGATGAGTGATGAGTGTGACGTCTGCTGTCAGAGGTATGATGAAACTACTGAAGCTTGGGCATTGCCACGGAATGCGTGTAGCTATAATATATAGTACACAAAGCTAAACACAATGGACATTATAGAAGCACATTCTAGACTTACAAATTCTGAAGTGGTTATTACACATCATATCCCCATCAAATAATGTTTACCAGAGAATTTTATTGCCCATGTCTGGCCGTCAGCGTCGTCTGATGTTTTGCAGGTCACTGTTGTGTGGTTTATATCATTGTCAATGAAATAAGTTGTAGGGACTTGAAGTTGGGATATAAAATATCGATTTCCATTATTTGAAGGTATTACACTAATAAGGTAAAACATGAATTCTCCGTCCAACTTGAAAGATCCGTTTTCATTGGCAGCCAAGAAACTCTTGGATTCCATCAGTTGTGAGCTTGACCACTGTAAATATGTCGGGCTGGACGCTTTACATTCGAAGACAATGGTGAAATTGTAATTCCGACACAATGTAACCGTAGCATTCGTGGAATAAATTCCAAGGGCTGTGAGGTGTACTGCTTGAGCAATGTTGAAGCAACACATACACCATAGAACTGCTAGAAGCTGGACTCTCCACGAGCAACAAAACAGCCAACTGCATAAAGGGAACAAAAGGTATTGCTAGCCTAGCTACTGTTCAACCTGAGCTATGACCGGTGTTGCCTTCCTTATAATACACGTTGGTCAATGACTCACCGATTATTGACGTTGTTCCAACCTGCCATAGCTAGCAAAAGCTATAGGTTCGATAGTATATGCCAAATTTACTACGATTATTACTCGATGTGTTGAAAACGCGCGTTGCCATGAGAAAGAGAAAATTCACGAAGCGTGAAACTCAGCGTAAGATCACGCGATTACTTCACGGACTCTTGCTCAAACTACGTATATTATACATTTCACAGTGTTCCTTCCATAAATGGGTCCATGACTTCTTATTCTTCTTCGTTGTGACCTCCACTGAAGGAGAGTAACCTATATATGGGGTACGCAATTATTCGGTGAGGGTGGGGGCCCACAATTAGCGATACCGCTCATGCGTGGTGCGCCGAGGGTTTGCACCATTGGCGCGGCAGCGAAGGTTATCGTTACTGTCTGTTTGTCAGTCTGTCTGTCTGTCTGTTAGCTACCACGTTTTCTGCCGCCACGCGCAACGTGAAAACAATTACATATGGAGCGTACCCAATGGAGCGAGTTATTAACGTACCAAGATGGAATAAATAAGTTCTGAAATACTCCACATAAGAGAAAATGCATCATACGGCACATTCTGAGACTACTGTGTAGTTTAGCTCCGGACAATATCGAGTCAGCGATCAATTATCGACCACCATCAATTTTCGGACGCGTTTGTAAGACTATGAAATAAGCTAGACATACACTGATAATACCAATATATAGACAGGTACGCGTGGGCTAGGTGTACGAGAAATCTTGGTTCTGCCATAAGCAAAAACGATTTTATGAACGATCGAAGTGAACGTCCGATAACCCCAGAGATCGGGAAAAGTTACCAATTTCCGGACGCTCGCCACTAACACTTTGAGAGAGGACGGAAGAGAGGCCAAGGCCACTGCACATGTAAAGCTACCCTTCCTCTATAGACACGCTATATCTTCGTTTCGTGAAAATTCCGCAGAAGCTGCTCACGACAGAGCCAAGCGCGGGGGTCACGCCCTCTATTTTCCGACTACGGGAAGTTAAACGCCCATAAGCGCATGCGTCACAAACTTAATTAATTGCAAAATGAGTGGAAAGTAAGGTTGTGACGCCTGGCTAGGCTTCACCGACACGCAAATACAACAGAACCAGGAGTTGCAGGTTTAACATTCCATCCACTTATACGCTGTAGGGTGCTGGCATAAGCAAGAACTTGACCCTGAAAGAGAGTAGGGAAAACTAAAGGTGAAAAAATGATTGTGCATTTATACCTCCCACACCATGTGCTGAGCCTGAACATTTCTGTCCTTGTCCTGAAGGCTTCTGTCCTGATTCACACTGTGACAGAGCAGCAACTGACTGCAGTCTAGATCCTAGATTTGGGGATAGATAGATGTGTAACACATGTGTCAATACGTCTATAGTATCCACTAAACCTGGACGTCCTGAACGTTTCTGTCCTTATCCTGAATGTTTCTGTCCTGATTCGCTGTCTGACAGAGCAGCAGCTGACTGTAGTCTAGTTCCTAGTGTCGGGGATAGATAGATGTGTAACACATGTGTCAATACGTCCAGAGTATCGACTAAACCTGGACATCCCGAACATTGATTACAATGTACCTGGTCTGGGACATAGAGCCTTGAGAGACACCTCCAGTCATCATCATTCTCTTAACTATCTGTAGGACAATAATTTAGAGGTACACTCTGACAGTTGTTTCTCTATGCTACGTAGTACGTGAGTCAAGTATGATACATGTGTAGAGACGTTCACCGTTTCTCAGTCGTGGAGCCAACACTTATTACTTGTGCACATGCTCAGTATCAGAGTATTATAATTATGTGTGTGTAGTGCGCATGACTGAAATGACAATAGTTCTACTAGTACCATGAGAATGATTATGACTATGATAATGTACATACTTGCCAACCGTCCCACATTCCGCGGGACTATTCCGCAAAAATCAGTGGCGTCCCGCTGTCCCGCAGCATGCAGAGCCTTATTGTCCCGCGTTCGACCGACGCTCCGCGTCACTGCATGCGCAGGGAATTTCTATATAGCTCGCTGCGCATGCATACGATGTGGAGAGACTTGACCGCGCAGGCGCATCCCGAAAAATAGGAGTGGCCAAGTTTTGAGTATTACGTTTTCACGTTGACCTTTGCCACCCGGTCACGCCCTATATAGCGCAAAATTAGCGTACCGAAGCAGGCCACTACGCATAATGGAGACGGACCGTTCGCTCCTGGGTGTCGCGCACGAGTTTTCTCTCCCATACAGAATGTATGGAGGAGGAATATGAATATGCTAATGAGTTTTGGCTGGTATACAACAGCACTGAACATACAGTCACCATCATATAGCACATCATGGATAGTGAAACCAGTTTGACTGGCTATTGTTTCTAGCTTATGCACAGCTGTTAAGAGGGCATCATCACTGTCAGAACAGTCCATAGCAATCGCAGTAGGGGATGCAACACTGTTTAGGGAATCAACAATAGGCTGAATAGCATCGGAAAACAAGGTAGGAAAAATCCGAGAAATATACCTAAATTCACTATAAATCACGAGCGTTTTAGCTGTGCTATTGAAAAAAATATCTGAAACATACGCCCACGCACAATCGTCTGGAACCTTGACCCAAAAATGTTGTAAATTTACACACTTGAAACGTCATCAAAAACTCGCACAATTGTGAACTTAGACATTACCCGTGCTTGTGACGTCATCGTGTCGCACTCCTCATTCGTGACGTCATCGAGTCGGGTATGTAAACCTCTTCGCGTTATGCGCACGCGCGGACGTAGACCACCTGCCTCTGCGCATAGCTCACCAATGAGTATAAGAAACACTGTGCAAAATTATCTTTCAGTGCTTGTAGTTTTTCTATACGTTTTTGTATATACATGATGCGTGTGCTTTGTTTTTGCAGCTTTATTTTGTACGTGGTATTGATAGGTTAGTGTTGCTATATAGCTAGGTTAGTGTTTTCCCATGTCCTTGGAATTTTTGAACTTATTCACTGTCCAGGCAATCATGGACAGCCAACTCTGGAGCCACCAACTGGTTATTTCTGTCCCAACGTCAACGTCACTTACACTTGTCATGACAGTAATGTAACCTCAATGACATGGTTTGCTGAAAACAGAAACCGAGGAATCCCGTATGTACCAGCATTTACCAGTAATGAATCCATGAAGAAATATGACAGTTTCTACACACAAGCTACCAATTTCAGTGTGGATATTGAGACAGAGAAGTTTATCAGTGTGACAACTATTCTGACTGTGATCACTAGTGGCATAGAGAATGGGACAAACATCACATGTGTGACCTACAGAGGTGGATACCCACTGGTTTCCTCTTCAATCCTCTACTTTGCAGGTAATGAGATAAAGGTGACTGTTATAGCTATTGCGTATGCTTCTTTCACAGATCTCCCTCGCTGGAAAAATACGTTAGTGATAATAATATGCCCAGAGAATAACACAGCAGTGCTCGAGCTTGGAGATATGTTTGATGGAGGAGGAGTTCCAATTGATCACTACATTATTCAAGTGGACAATGGCACACAGTTTGAAACTCCAGGCCCCACTTACAGTTTTGACATCATGTACAATACTACACTGTCAGTGAACATCTCAGCCCACAACTGTGCAGGATATAGTGATCTCTTTCCACTTGAGATACAATGTAAACGAGGTGAAGTTTGATCTATTTCACCAACTCCTTTTTGTTTTGCAATTTGTTTTTACAGAGGATATGCCTTCTACGATTCCTACTACGACAGAAACGCCTAATGCTGGCCTTTATGAGCACTGGCTGGTAGTTTTGCTTGTAGTTGGGATCATTATGCTAATTGTCGTACTGCTTGTAATAGGAATTTCTGCACACCTCATACAAAGGTGTATAAAACACAGTTAGTTTCATTAAATTCACAGGGTATTGATTCACAACTTGTCTATGTATGTATAGGATCAAAACAAATTCTCTCCATTGCTACTAAAATAAGGTAAAGCTGAAACCACTGCTATATAGTTAACGTAAGAACAAATGACTTTTTGCAGAATGGTTGACAGTGGGAGTAACACTAGGATTGACTACCACAGCAATACTGGAACCCCGGCACCTGCAGAATACTCCTACATCCCAGTATGTGGGTAGTCGTAGCCCTAGACCATCCCCCTAAAGAGGGAAAAGGTCTAGAGATTTGCTGTAGTTGTCTATTGTATTGACTTGTACTGCAGGCTACCAAATCATTCCATTCCATTTAGCACGAAGTATTTTCCATTTCGGATTGCACAACACATGGATGTACCACGAGTAGCTAGCTAATATGTTTCCTCTTGACACCAGGGGAAGTGTGATGTGGTGGAGAACTCTGCTTATGGTGTCCATGTTCAAGGCTCAGCTGGTGATAGACTGGAGCCAGACTACAACATGGAGAACAACCCACTGTATGAGATGAGGATACTGTCAAATGAGGGACACTCACACAAGACACAAACACCAGCTCCAGTGTCTGTGTATGAGACTGTTGACAGTGTGGATACTCAATTATAAGTCCACCAGGAAAACAGGCGGAAATGCTACTTATAGCAAACATGTTGTCACATTACAGCATTGTTTTCCCTTGTGACTTTCACAAGGCTGGACTTATTCCATTTCATTTAGCACAAAGTATTTTCCATTTCTGATTGCACAACACATGGATGTACCACGAGTAGCGAATGCTTTTCCTCTTGTAACTACTATCACGCTATATAAAAGAGAAAGGTGTCCTGTTTCATAGTTACTTGTACATACTGTAGGCTACATAATTATTGTCATGAACCCACCAAATTGTTCCATTCCGGTTAGCACAAAGTATGTTCTTTGCCTTGTTTCGGATTGCATGATCGACACATGGATGTACAACAAGCAGCTAATACCTTTTCTCTTGACAGCAGAAGGTTCAGGTCTCTCACGATAATGGGAGATGGTCTCTAATGAGATAGACTCGACATGTGTGGTGTTTAACTACGTAATTTTAGTTTTTGTAGCTGGACTACAAGTTCGCTACTGAGTCTACTTACATTGGCCTGCATGTGTGCATTCTCTTCTTTAACACCCAAACTGTAAATATAACACTTAAACCGCAGTCTACAACAAAATTCCTTGACCATCTCATCTCTAGAGAGGGTCAGGTCCCCTACTCTATGTATGTAGCTAAATCACCAAGCAAAGTGATCCCACCCAGTTGTCCGAACGCCCTTCTTTTGAATGGAGGGCCCTATTACCACCCTCTGATGTTTTAATTGATCTCTACACTTGGTTGTCACTCACAAAAATGTTCTGTGCAATTCAGGTTAGCTACAACTACCAGAAATATTTACAGTGAGACTGTAGCTACAGGTCAATACAGCACCGTCATCGACACAGGCCACTGCACCACCTCCTCAACTTTGGAAGTCGGATTCACAATTTGTGACTTTGTAATACTGTCCATACTACAGGGGTGACAAATTTCTGATGCGTAAAAATTGAAGGTGACAAATTTGTGTCATAATGATATAACTAAAAGTGCCCATCAACGAAAGGGTTCACAAACAAGTTGAACGTTTAGCATAAATCAGGTAAATTAAAATTTACATGAAAGTGCTAAAATTCGAAACTGAACTTTTTACTTGAGACACTGATATGACTGTTGAGCTTTACATTAGCAAGTGAATAGCTGTATATGTACTTTCATTCACTATCAGACAAAGATATCAGTGTTCACTTAATCCTGCTCCAACTGAGGACTGTACAGTCGTGTTGGCGTGCTCTGGGTGAGGCTGCTGGACTGGAGAGGGAGACTCTGGACAGGGTGGGTGTGAGCTTATAATGTCCACACCAACAGAGCACCACTACATCAGTTGTTAGAACACTCGCCTAGAATGCAGTGCCGTAGCTTCAAATCACACCAAGGGCAGTTCCAGAAAGAGCTATCCTGAGTGGAGTTGACTTGTCTGCTTTAACTTGATTGTGAACATGGCATCATATGGTTTTTTCTACATGGTGTAGTAATAATCTAATAAGAAAAACATTGTTTTCCATATTGACGGGGAGTTGAGTGTTGACAGTGCCAAACTGGCAGAGGTGGTGTTTCAGTGGTATGAGAGAAAGGAGTGTGTGAGGTGGTCAGATGTGTCCTCTCTCTGTGGGCAGATTGGTTTCAACCAGCTATCTGAGGTCGTTAGCACTGCTTACATCACTGGTGAGTTTACCATAGCACTGTAAATGGATTTCCGCAACAACTGTTTTTCTGAAATGGTGAGAATGATTGTGTTTCCGCGCAAAGTTGTTTATCCAGGGGCGGCCTTGTTTACGCTACCTCATCAGTACATAAACCCTTTCCTGCTAGACTCGTGATGGGACTTTCACTACACTGTATAGTCTGCCAGTAATGTCTGTGTACAGAACAGAAATGCCCAGAGTGTTGTTAGGGCCCACTTGATGCATGCACTAGAAGTTTCAGTAATAACTGTGGATTTGGCTCAATTTACTGTTTTCTGTTAGTCAACCAGAAACTTTCGATGTGGTGTTTGGCAAACGAACACAGCAGCATGATCTTTGGACCGCAGATAAGTGTACCAGTAAAGAAATGTAGTCTTTACAAAGTAGCCACTGACCATACAACCATAAAACTAGGCAGAGCAATGCATGAAGATTTACTAGTCAACTAAACTGGCCACACTTAAACTAGAGAAGACCCTGTATATAGGTAGCTATATGCACAATCTAAAAACAGCATGAATGATATTGCACTTGGCGGTTGGTTCTTCATACTATAAGACTAAGTTTTGAGCGACGAAATCTGAAGGTCGTGTAGTATTGTACATGATGTCAAAACTGTAAGTGGGGCCTGGAGTTTCCACTGCAACTGTGTGCCGTTGTCCACTTGAATAATGTAGTGATCAATTGGAACTCCTCCTCCATCAAACATATCTCCTATATCAGAGAGTCGGTAGACTCTCTATATAGGGACGACACGGGTGAAATCTCACGTGATCTACGTACAAAACGACTAAAAACTCGGTGAGAATCACTCCCTAGGCCTTCAAAACATACTAGCAATAGTCTACGGGCCTATATCTACCTATACATGCCCCCCCAAGACCTCATACGCACCTTCAGTCGTCCACGCGAGAATTCGCCCATACGCGATTTCACGATTTTCATGTCATCATCATATTCTTCATTCATCTTCAGACCCGCTAGCTCCTTACCGGAAGCAATTTTTTCGCAGAACGTCTCCGAATTTGCCGGAGGTGTGCACGCACATCAAGCGATCGTGCCGCAAGTCACTACGGTAGATCGTTGAGCTCTTCCTCGGTAGTCACTGAACAACGCCATTTGCTGCTAACTCAGCATCAGTGAGCCCGCATGCGCCGAGGAGGGCGTTTCCAATGCGGTGCGCGCGCATTTTGTCCCGTAATAACCTGGTCCACGAACGAGCCAGGATTGGATGCCTTCAGAGAAAACTACTCTCATCCTCCAATGCCTTCTGTAAGTCAGTGTACAATGGCTAGCTTGCGTTTTGCTGTTGATTTGCACGAGGAGCAACTTGGCAATTGCGCGTGTTACGCGTGCCTTGCCTGGCGCCTTCATTCTTTGTCCCCCTGGTTATAGCTATCATTGTAGTCTGATTTCTGAAGCCTGCCCAATGAAACCAATGAAACCACCACCATATGTGCCACAACCTAATCGCGTCCTTGTTGGAGACACTACGCATACACCCTGCTTCAGTCCATTAGCTTCTGCTTTCAGCAGTTATCTCTACAACATAGCCATGAACATCAGAGTGACTGAAAATGCTGTGTTGTCATAAGCTGTTAAAAATAGTGGAAACAAGTGGAAAAATCATTTCTTCAAAATGAAAGTGGGATATAGGGATGACTTGAAGCACCAAAAAGGAAGAAACAAGGGGTCATTACACACCAAATATGCACAAAGCCACATGACACCATCTCTATATCTTTGTTTTATTGTTCATAAGCAAAGTTTAATATGAGACAAAGATATAGGGATGGTGTCATGTAGCTTTGTGCAACTTTGCTGTGTAATGACCCCTCGTTTCTTCCTCTTTGGTGCTTCAAGTCATCCCTATATCCCACTTTCATTTTGAAGAAAAGATTTTTCCACTTGTAGCTCTAGTACTGTTGTGAAATGTGTCTCCTTTTCTTGGTATGTGAAGGCACAGAAGGACCACCGTTAGCCTTAGGTGACATGTCCTTCTCCAGCCTTGGTGTCATTCTAGGCATGCTGTTCTCCAGCCCAGGTGTTACATTAAGAATCTCCTCCATAGTGTCTGTCATGAAGTCTGTGACTGCAAAATTACTCAAAAAAACAAGCAACAAACAAGTTAAAATCTACCTTGATGATAATAAATGTCAAGTAGTAAAAATGGATCACTGTATCCTGCACAGTTGTGTGCTGAGATGTTCACTGACAGTGTAGTATTGTACATGATGTCAAAACTGTAAGTGGGGCCTGGAGTTTCCAACTGTGTGCCGTTGTCCACTTGAGTAATGTAGTGATCAATTGAATAATGTAGTGATCAATTGAACTCCTCCTCCATCAAACATATCTCCTAGTTCCAGTATAATTATAGTGCTGTGAAATATTTATCCTTTTCCTTGTATGTGATTGAGGGTGCCTTGAAGTCGGGTATACCTAAAACCAATAGTTAGCTAAGTCCAAAATAACCTTATCAGAGTTGCAAACCTGTCAAATACAATGT